ATATATATATATATATATATATATATATATATATATATATATATATATATATATATATATATATATATATATATATATATATATATATATATATATATATATATATATATATATATATATATATATATATATATATATATATATATATATATATATATATATATATATATATATATATATATATATATATATATATATATATATATATATATATATATATATATATATATATATATATATATATATATATATATATATATATGTATATATATATATATATCTTGACCACATGATTAATATGATCATACGGACAACATCAGTCCGCAGGCACATAACTAGAAGGGCAAACTTGTAATTACATTATGCACACTCACGACTCACGTATCCTTTGAAGGAGAAATCAAGATTACAATATAAACATTAAAATTGGGTCTAGGGTTCATAGGTTGCCTACGAGTAGATGAAAATAAGTAACCCATGGATTCGACATTGAGCTCCTGACCATTCGCATATCGACATCGTGGTTATTCACAAGTCGCGCAATAAAATCGGCCACGTACAGAGTTCGCATAGAAATCAGGTTCTTCATCTTTATTACTATATTTTTTTCCTTTTTCGACCGGGATCTGACATACACGTATTCTTAGTATGCTGCGACTCGTAAGTGGGGGAAACTAATGATCCTCTAATTAATTTAGGTTTTTTGTACAAGACGTCATATTCATGGAAGAACCTGTGGATCTTGTTGAAACACAAGAAGGTATAAAGAACCTGATATCGTTGCTTGATTATGTTTTAATTAATGAGTGTAATTTGGTATATTATGATGTGTAATCGCATTGTATATTCATATAATATGGTTTGCACAAATTTGGTGAACATATTATGGAGGCCACAGTGTGCATGGCATCGTACGTAAATGTGCATGGTACATTACGTAACCGTGCATGGCAATACACATTATTGTGCATCCTTCTTTTTCTGTTTAATTAATTATTTATTTATATATTTTTTTTTTTGTTTTTGGTTTTATCCGTATATTATTGCAGATTCAATCCCAATATCAGCACCTCAACCCCACCAGCTAACCATCATGCCGGGTGGCACTATGTATTGGATACCACACTGTGATGATGCACTTAGGCCCTTCAAAGGGCAGAGATTTCAAGGGCTTAACAAGGCATCTGTTTTCTATAATACGTATGCTTCTACGGTTGGTTTTGATGTTCGCCACAACACATTGGTTAAGGCGAGAGATAAGACTGTGCTTTGGAAATATTTAGTGTGTTTAAGAGAGGGCTACAAACACCACACAAACACAGACCAATCAGTGTGTCCGCAAAGGGGCAGGGTATCCAACCGAGTGAGTTGCAATGCCCGGATTGTGCTTCGAGTTGATGGACTCAACAACTATGTTGTTTAATGTTTTAAGAAAAGCATAACCATCCAATGGCAGCTGATGAGTGTAGAGCACGACTAAAGATCAATCGAACGATGACGGCTGCACACCAAACCTTTGTCCTCATTTGTATAAAGGCCAACATAGGCCCTATCAAATCGTACAAGCTGTACAAAAAAATTGTTGGAGGATATTCAAACGTTAGCGCCACCAATATGGAGTTCAGGAACTTCAAGTAAGAGCTCATGGGGTACATTCTAGGAGCTGATGCTCAGTTGGTTATCGAGAAGTTATATAAACACCAGGAGAATAGCTCCGCCTTTTATTTTCTCTACGAGCTCGACGAAAATGATTGCCTACACAAGCTTTTTTGGGCTGATACGATATCAAGATGTAAATATGGGTCTTTTGGTGATGTTGTATCATTGATGCAACATATCGCACCAACAGGTACATTAATTCCACGTATCAATTACATAATTATTTTGTTCTTGCACGACATTGTTATTAATACAGCACAATACATCATAAGTTCTTGAACACTATATAACCAGATAATGTGCACTGCTGAAACATATTGTTTTTTCTTGTAGGTACAATCATAGACAACCACGGAAAGTGTGTAACATTTGCAGCCGCTTTGATAGCGAAGGAAGACATCAATTCTTACGTGTGGGTATTAGAAAACTTCAAGAATGCGATGATTCACGAGCCCAACTACATAGTCACTGACCAAGACCCTTCGATTGGAATTGCTTTCTCCAAGGTATTCACTAGTAGCAAACACCGCTGTTGCATGTGGCACATCATGAATAAATTATGTGACAAAGTGGGACATGCTTTAAATAAGGACGCCAATTTCAGAAGGAGGCTTAATGAAATTGTTTGGAGTAGGAACCTTGAGCTTGCCGAGTTTGAAACTAAATGGGCTTCTATTATGCATGAATATGACTTAGACACCCATAATTGGTTCATCGATTTGTTTGCTAAAAGAGAGTATTGGATACCGGCATATATTAGAGATGTTAGGATGAGTGGGCTTATGAGGACTACCTCTAAATCGGAAAGTGAGAATAATTGGTTTAGCAATTTTACAAGTAACTAATCCAGCTTAGTCAAGTTTCTGTTGCATTATGATAGTGCGATGGACGCACAACGGAACACGTCAATGAAGTAACAAAGTGACACTGAAACTCACATGGCTGACCTAAAAACCCCTTTGTCGGTTGAAAAACATGCTCTATCTGTGTACACCATAGCAATATTTTATCGTGTGCAAAATGAAATATGTGACGCGTGTTTCAAATGTCGATTGATGCAATGATCTGAAACTGACGATGAAATAACGTTTGTGAAGTGGTGTTAACGTCCGTTTGCCAAACCTCATATTCCATATGAGCGGCTACAGCCAAAAAAATCCTGATGGATTGAGCATAGCTACCGACAAAAAAGTTTCCTCATAACCGATCCCTACTTTTTGAGTATACCCTTTCGCAACAAGCCTAGCCTTGAAGGTCTCAACCTTTCATCTGAACATCACTACAAGAAATTCTATATTTTGTGACGAAATTTATTTTTCACGAACTAAATTTTGTCATAAATTGTTAGGTAAAAATGACAAATTTTGTTTTTGTCACAAATAAATTATATTTTATGACAACATTTACTTTTGTCACTAAATAACACTTTTTATGACGATACTTTGTGTGACGAAGAATAATTTGTCTCAATTTGGTATGCAATAGTGACAATTTTTATTCTCGTCGTTGAAAAATATTATATTTGTGACATCATATATTTTTGTCACTAAATTACATATTTTACGATAACTATTTTTTATAATGAGTGATATTTTGTCACATTTCATATTTGTTAATGACAATATTTATTTTTGTCACTAAAAATTACTTTATTAATGACACTGTTACTTTTTATCACAAATGTACATATTCTATGAAGAATTCGTCACAATTTAACAATTAACATTGACAAATTTTATTTTTTCACTAAAATATACCTTATTTTTTACTTTCTTAGTTTTTGTGACTAATGATAAATGTTTTCATAATTTGGTATTTAATAATGATAAGTTTTATTTAATATTTTAGTTTGTCTTATTTATGGTACATTTAACTTTCATCTCAAAGTTACATATTTTATAACTATTTTAATCATAATTTAATAATATAAAGAATAAATGTTATTTTTATTACCGAAATGTACCTTATTTATGACGAATAAAAATGAACATTTAAAAGGCCATTTTGTATTATCAATATTGATTGTAATATATTCATTAGTTTATATATTTAATATTGATATAAATATATCTATATTTTACAGTCACTAAAATTATATGTATATATATGTATGTATATATATTATATACAATAATGATCAGGTATATTTGAATGATTAGATTTAAGTAAGGAGAACATTTTTATAAATTATAAGTATAAAATCTACTTTTCATATATTTAATATATAGTTTTATCATATTTATTTATTTATATATTTGACATACATAGTTTTAATAAATAAAAAATTAATATTAGTAACATGTAATAGTTAATAAATATAAAAATTGTAAAATCATGTCACATACATTGGTACAGCTTAGTGGTGAGAGTCACTTTGAGATGCAAGAGGTCACAGGTTTAAATCCCAATGTGTGTCAAATATATAATTGTCAATATGGGTTGTGTGGAAGCTTGTGGGCTCGGCCTTCCAAGGTGTGCCGAGTGGTGGATTGTGATAAATAAAATTATTTTCAAAAATAAAAATAATAATTTATTATTTTTTTCCGGTGAAATTCGTCACTCTATGTTAGTGTTTAAATGACGAATATTCAAATTTGTCATATAAAAATATATTTAAGTGACGAAAATTTGATTGCAATAATGACAAGTTCGTCACTATAGGTTAATATTTAGATGACAAAATATCAGTTCGTCATTTAATTTCGATCTTTTAGTGACAATTTAAGAATTTTAATGACGATTTTTTGATATTTAAAGTGATGAGATAGACGTCACTAAAACTAGTTTTTTAATGACAAATCATAATAATGTCACATAGACATTTTGTGACGCGGCTACAGTGACGAACGCTACGACGAAAATTTTTCGTCACTATATAATTTTAGTGACGAAAAATAGATTTTTTATGATGAATATTTTCGTCATAAAATATAAAATTTCTTGTAGTGATCCTCTTTCTCTTATAGACCCACTTGCATCCAATGGCGCAAACACCACTGGGTGGCTCTACAAGATCCCAGACCTGATTAGAATCCATAGACTCTATATCAGATTTCATTGCTCTTTGCCAAGAAACTGCGTCCTGATCTTGGAGTGCCTCATCATATTTCCATGGATCGATATCAAGCCCATCCGGAACGGTCTCGGAAGACTCTCCCAGAAATTTGAATCGATCAGGCTGTCGGACAACTCTCCCACTATGACGAGGTACTACCGACACAAGTGCATCGTCGGTGATACGTGTTGCAGTATTATGTGGTGTAACATCAAGTGCACTCGGTATCGAAGTATCAATCCCCTTTATCTCCTCTACGACATGTCTACTACTAGGCTTACGGTCCATAACATAGTCTTCTTTCAAGAATCTAGCTTTCGTGCTAACGATCACTTTCTGGTCCTCGACACTATAAAATAAACCACCTTTCATTTTCTTAAGGTATCCTACAAATAGCCTTTCTTCTGTTATAGATTCCAACTTATCAGTATTTGTTCTCAGCACATGTGCTGGACTACCCGATGTTCGGAGATGTCTTAGACTGAGCATATGCCCAGACCACAACTCTAATAGTGTAGATGGTTCTGATTTAAAAGGTACCCTATCCAGAATGTATACTGCTGTTTCTGGAGCATATCCCAAAACAAATCTAGTAAAGTGCTATAAATCATCATTGCCATAACCATCTACATAAGAGTCATATTCCTTCGTTCTGCTACGCCATTCTATTGGGGCGTACCTGGTGCAGTCAATTGGGACATAATCCCATTATCCGTTAAATAGTTCTTAAACTCTCCCGAGAGATATTCACCACCATGATCCGATCGTAGCGACTTGATACTCTTCCTTAATTCTTCTCTACAATTGCCTTATACTCCAAGAATTTCTCGAAGCATTCAGACTTGCGGCGTAATAGGTAAATATATCCATATCTTGAGTAGTCCGATAAATGTAATGAAGTACTCATATCCTCCACTCGCTTGGAGTGACATAGGACCACATAAGTCGGAATGAACTAGCCCTAACACATCTTCTACTTTATTCCCCTTAGATTTAAAAACCCTCTTAGTCATTTTTTCTTCTAGGTAGGATTCACAAGTTGGAAAGGCCTCGAATTCTAACGACCCTAAGGGTCCATCTGCCACTAACCTTTGGATTCTCCTCAGGTTTATGACCAAGTCTTAGATGCCAAAGATATGTTTCACTCATCTTCGAAGGTTCCTTTCTCTTATTTAGATTAGACGATGAATTAAGTAATATTTTTTGTTGCAGTGAGAGACTTTGGTTCCAGAATATACAGATTGTCTACTAATGATCCATCACAAATGAACTTTTTTCCAAAACGAACAACAACTTTATTATCCAAAGTAGCAGAAAAACCGTTCATAAACAACTTAGAAAGTGAAATTAAATTCTTTCTGAAAGTAGGAACATAAAGACAACCTTTCAAAACTAAAACCCTATCTAAACAAAAATCTAAATAGATATCTCCCACTGTCTACACACCAGGTTCTGGTAGATAACACCGCTAAACATGTTTCAACGACTAATAAAAAAGATATACCTTTATCGCCCTTCTTGAGGAGAGGGAAGTCGGCCTTCTAGTGTCACTTCTGCTGGCATTTGTGGCACTTGCCTTTCGGCTAAGTCGCCACTGGCAGAGGTTGTGGGCCAATCATAGTTGCTTTACCCTTTCTTGCGGACTTCTTCCTCTTCCTGCCCTTGTTGGGCCTAGAAGAATATGCCTGAGCTCGCTGAGTAACAATCGT